CTAATAAAATTTTTAATTTAACTAAATCCCGTAGTTTCAAAATACTGTATTCTGTTTTCATTTTACTCATGGCTTTCAATGGAGTTCTTTGTTTTTGCTCATTATTTTTGTAAAATTTCCACTCCAACTGTCCTCACTTGTATAAGCCTGTAAGATGTATATGTTTWAAAAAAACAATTCAGACTAGCTGCTTACTTTAAATTTCAGACTCAAATGAAACGGCTCATATTTATCTAAATATAACATATCCACCTCTGMCTTGACCTGTGGGGCTTGAATTTGAGGAAAAAAATAAAGTCAAAATATGAAAGGCTTTACAAAGGTTTATTGTTAATTTAAAACGTCTTGACTTTAATGTTTTTACTCGTACTAAAACTCTAAAATCAGTTGTTTTCCCCAAAGTTGAGGTTGTACAACAATAAAAGGTTGGCAACAATTTAAGGAATCAAATGCAAGTTTAACAACCACCATTTCTGCTATTTAAAATATCCAAAGTAGCATTCATGCGTGACTAGCTTGTGCGTTTATATTTTTGTTTTACAGCTGATTAGTGATATTTGTGCATGTTTCCCAGTGATAGTCAGGGTCAGTAGTTGTATTACCTGTAGAGCACGTGCACACAGCCCACTGCTCCTGGTGTCAATCTGACGAGCAGCAAGAACAGGATTATCACACACAAGCCTGTTCACTCGGGGCAGAAGAAAGTGTGAAATCTGATTGCTCCAGAAGATTTGGGGGAAACGAGACTCCCGTGAGGTCGATGGCATTTTAAGAGGCCGAGAAAGGGGACACGAGTGTGTTGTGTGCCGCTTTGTTTTCAGAACCGATTGGGTGGCTTAATAGTGGAAAATCAATTATATTGGTACAAATCCTCTACTTTTTACTTCCTGAATAAAGTTTGGTTTAATTGCTTTTTTATTCACAGCAAACTGAAAATGAAAGCAAGCATCAGTGGAATTTGTTCAGTTATTATTTGACACCAGCAGGGGGCGTTGAAGCATTGTTTTATTATCACTTTGAGTCTAGTAGCTGTTGGACTGTCATTTTTCTCCATAAAAGAAAAACACACCTCCATGAGAGAAACAAGTCTTAGAGGGAAGAGTTGTGTGTTTTTAGAAGTTGTTTTTGCAGGTAATAATCACAACTTAAAGCTGTTCTTGTTTTATTTGAGTTCATTTATAAATGAAGGTTGGAGCGTATTGTAGTGGCATGTTTTTATTCCCTGTCATTTCTCTGTGTTTTACATATTTCCTGATATTTCTACTGTATAAAACGTTATTTCCTGCTGTTATTGCTGAAATATGTTTTTGTTGCCTTTTTTAGAAACCCTAAACAAATGCTGTCATTCTTTTTCACATGCAATAATAAAAAAAATTAAAAAAAATCATGCATGACTGAAGCTCAGACAATATAGCCAAATGATGGTTCAGGGCTTAGTGATAGAAAATATTCAGGCTAAGTACTCAAATCGTTGCTTCTTAATGAGCACTTGCTGTTAACTTCTCCTCTGTGACTTTTGGGTGTTTTTTTTTTTAATTGCGATTTGAAATTCTAATCCTTTCTTTAGCTGAGAAAACACATTTTTTTTGTGTCTCCCATAATCTTGGTGCTTCTCACAGAGACCACACTGATTGCGTGCTGCTGCTCTGACCCCGCAGTTAGTTTTTAAAAAAGCTCATTTTAGGAAAAAAAAATGTTCTCATCCTTTCTTTGCCTTGATCTGTAAAGCAAGTTGTCAACATAAACTGTGCAAATTCACACAAATATCACATMAGCTGTCATGTTTAAAAGGCTGTAAAAATAATGTTGATGTGGTGGATTTGACCTAATTTCCCTCTGAATACTTGCTGTGAAACTAATCCTCCTAAACTCCTCTGTAATATAGTTATATATTACATACATTTAAAAATATTTTAAAAAATACAGGATGATAGTTATATTTTCTAAAACATTATAAATTTGATTGGTTTGGGATATTTAATGTCATATCATAATAATATATTCTAAAAACACTTGAACACTTTTTATACTTTAATGAACAAAATCTAATTTATTAACCAACTAACATGCATGTATGTGTGTTTGTGTATGTATGTATGTATATATGCATGCAT